AATATCGTCAGTAAAGTGCCAAATTAGGACACCCTGTAAATAAAACTTTTGTATAACGGTTTTTTTGAAAAATTGTGTGCAAATGTTGGAAGGAAATACTAAAATCAAAGAATTGGGAATTTCTAAAATGCTTTTTTGCTCCACTTCTGATCAAGTTTGCTTCAGTACAGTATTGATCTAAATAAACTTCTCGTTTTCAATAATAATTCAATAAAAGCTAGACAAATTAGGTATAACTTCCAAAAACTATATAATGCGATAATTACTTGATGCGAATATCGAAGATAATGATTTGATATTTTACGACTTTATGTACTTATTTTGAAATATTTCTTAATTTTTTTTTGTTTGTGACATATAATGGCATAAGAATAGTAATTAAACGTAAATAATACATTTAAGCGATTTTTGATCTGTTCAATTTTGTTGGTTTGGTTAGTTTTATTCAGTAAACATATTAAAACCAAAAAGAAAAATATCTATGTTTAAAATAAATAGATCGACATTGCAGATACACTTAAAAAAATGCAAATTTTACTGATTAGATTGAATTTTGCTTTTAACAAATGAAAGCCAATTTTTACAAAGTTTAAAAAGTGTGAAATTAATAGAAACTAAATATAAACGACGGAAAAAAAATTCGTATACCGAAATCCAAAGATAGGATGGTTCAGGATGGTGAGATCGCCTTTGTTAAATATCTCACGTTATCACTTCAGGCCTTTGTTTTCGTTTTTAATTTTCCGTATTTTTTGTGCAAGTTATTTTCGAAATAATAATTGAGTTTTTGATTCACAATTGAAAATTTTCGTCTCAATTACTGATAATCATTATTTGATGGCTTAAGTGAAGAAAAAAATATAAAAAAAACGAAAAAAGAAGTCATCAAGAGAAGATGACATTTCAGATGCTCTTGATGACGTGATGATAAAATACTAGAGACACTGAAAATAATTCAAAATATAACTGATAAAATGACAAATGACAAAGACATCGCAAACAAAACGGTTTGGGTAATTCATTTTACAATAAAATATATTACAAAATTGAATGTTTTACATTTTGTCGAAATATGATCTATTAGCTAAAGCTTGTTCTGATGTTATAAATCATATAGTGCGCTTTGGGCTTGCATTTTATGCTAAAAAAAAAAAGGTAGGCCAACTTCGCAGTTCACGATTTTTGTTGACCCCCGTTTCCCGCAGTTTTGGTTTCTTTTTCATTGATTCTAATGTATTACCACGCTCCATTTATCGTTCACATATTTTGCAAATTTATTATACCGCGCTCGTTACTCTGATTACCAATTAATTAGCGATATAAACTTGACGAAATCCGGCCCTGCACGTTGATACTGGCGCGTACCCCAAACCCAGTTATTAACACAACAACGCCACATCAATTACTTACACAGCTCGTATAATTATACCTGGACAAATTACCGTAGTTAATTAGAATTCTTCGAGAAGTGTCTCTGAAGTCAATGTTTACTGTAAAGTCACAACAATTTGCGGAATGTGTGGCTCGATGGTAATTGGCAAGTTTTGCAGGTCCGGCCGGTGACATGTGCTTGGGGTGTTTTTTTTTGGAAATCTTTACAAAGTTAGCGTAACCACGCTCATATAAAGTGCTCCAGGAACACTCCACTGAAGAGCGTATACGTTCAGCATTAAAACGATTCAGAAACCTATTACCAAATTTATGGGACAACATGCAGATATGTATGTATATGTTCCAACACTAAAATTTGTATTTCCTAACCAAAACTAACAGATTAATTAATAGGCAATTTCAATCCAACTACATACTATCAAAAAACACCAAAAGTGTTAGAATAGTATATTATGCAACAAGTGCGGCAAACCGCATTTGACTCACGAGTTTATTAATGAACGAGTGACTTAAAAAGTTTACCGAACGTGTTGCATACTATACTTTTTCTAAGACCTTTAGTTCTTGGGTACATTTTCGCAAAACAAAGCGAATATATTCACTGACATGACCGTCAGAACTGACAAACGTCAAAATTCAAGGCGTGGGAAATATCTCCGAAAACATCCGATTGCTTCCAAATCCGTTCGGTAAAATCCCCGAAATGTCCTCGGATCCATGGGAAACGAAACTGACGTGGTAAAGTGACGCTTCCCGCACGATAGATTAGAGATCGGTGTGTAATTAGGTATTTTACAGACGAGAGTAGAAAAACTAACTTACGGAATGAATATTCTGCATTGGCTGTTGTGGGAAGTCCATTTAACGAAATAAAAAATTCATGGTACGCTTTTCGTCGTTCACAACACTAAGTTGAATATACACAATTAAGGACATTTTGATTACTAACACACATGTTAAGATTACACTAATTTGTTTTCATAATTTGGAACTTAAAAATTAGGAGATATCCCAAAATTTTGAATTAGTGATTGATTAGTGATATGTGCTCATTTTTATCACGATTATGCTTCTTGATCTCTTTTGTAAAAAAAATAAAACTAAAACTAACTTACGTTACGCTGTTTTTTAATGACAGAGGTGGTATTATAAAGGGTTTGGTTTAAAAAAGCTTTGCCGCCCCGTATCTCAAGACGTTTACATGGAGTGAAGGTATCTTTCCCAAATGATACAAAAACAAATTACGTACACATGGTATGAAAGTTTCTTTTTCTAGTGGATCCACAAAAAAATTTCTTAAATATAAAAATATTAAAAAACTCTCAGTACAAGTCGTTAGTTGCTTTGACCACGAAAGTTATCAATACCAACAGCTAGCTTCACGAAAGTATGTAACAAAACTTAACAACCAACAATTAATATCATAATAACATAAAATTACAATCAATTACATCACAATGAGTCATGGGATTATTCAGCCCTATTTTTGATCTAGAATAGATAAGATAGATCTAGGTAAATGTTATTAAAAACTATTGTTTCATAATTATGTATCTGAATAAAAATGAAATTTTTGGGCAGTAATATTTGGCAAATCTGCCATATACCTAGCTGCAAGCTCGGAGTTGTTGTATGGGTTCGTTCATAAGGTATAGTTATAAAAGCTCGTAGAGAAATACACCTCAAACAGAGAGTGGGTATCTGAAATTACTCAACATACTATCTCGATCAATTAACGCCCTGTATATCGCCGTGCAAGTAAGTTATTCCCTATTTGGGTATATTAAAACAGATTTTCACACGATGACAACAGACACACATACACTCGCATTCTTCAATAAATTATCATAGTTATCCAATGTAAATGTACGAAAACATTCCCACCGCCTATTGGGTGGGCGACACCATCCAGCCCTTGAATAAAAAACAACCTCGTTCCGAGAATAGATTCGAAAGGGACCGTTTCGCGGAATTTTTCGGCACTCCGGGCCCTTTTAAACTTAATCCAATAGGAGCGGCGTATTTTTGAGGACGATGACAAACATCTCTAAGCGATGGTGTTGACAAAAACGGGCCGAGCTTCGGTTTAAACGTAGTCTGCGTGAGAGGCGTCGCAAGATTTTTATTAATTAACGCAAATTATCCGAGGTGATTTCTAAGTAAAAATTAAAACGCGAAATTTACCCTATAGGAAAGTTATAAAAAAAATATTCGCCCAATTTTCGAACAGCGAATAGAATTTGGTCAATGGTACCGCAAAAACAAAAATAAGGGCAAAATTTTACCCTACAAATAGAAATCTTAATATTTCGAGTTCAAACAAGTATTTTTTTTATTTCATATTACAAGTCTGGATTTTATTCCAAAATTAAAACAATAAATCGTAGAGTAAAAGTTAGTGTTTTGTCCAGGAATTTCTAAAAATAGAAAATCGAAATTTTACCCTTAACTTTCGAGTAACAAATTGAAATTTTTAGTCAAACAGGAATTCATTTAGAGATAAAACACTAAATTCTAAGATGAAATTTCGAAATTTCTTGAAAAAGTACAATTAATAAAAAAAAAACTATTAAAACATTAAATTGCAATTACTACTACTGATTGTAATATTACATTTGTATCTCAAATATTAAAACTATCTCCATAAATTTGTAACCTCTCTCGTTAATTTTATTTGTAAACGCAAAAAAAGAGATCAGAAGATTAGCAAAATTAAAATATCACCAAGCAAGTTCCGGTAGCCACAGTAAACAAAGTTTAGTGACTGAACGTAATAATTTTAACCAACGATCTTAACATTTCGCAGAAACACATATTTACAAGGTCGTCAGGTCGTCCTTTAAGCACACTTATATTAAAAATGAAGAACTGAACTTTTATCCCTATTATGGTGGTCACGTAGTTACGATATATATACGCCACATTTCGGGGACACCCTGTATATTAGATCCTGCCTTACTCACTCAGAAGTACGACAACATCGAAATAACTAACACTCTCTCCCGTTTTTATTTTTTATCTAAATAAACAGAAAAATTACGTTATCATTCACTAAACAAGGGGCCAACTCATATCAGCGACGGCACCATTGAAAAATATTGTGGGGATTTCGTTATTTAGCGTTGTTTACATAATAATGCGCGTATTTGTTAACTTTTCTAACGATTTCCTGTTTGAAAATTACATTCCTCTTCTGCTGAGCAAATAAACCGGGTACGTTTGAGCGCGTATAACTTTTCTTAGCCGCAAATTTTGCCACTAAAAGTTAACAAATACCCGTAAACTTTCCAGAAACGTAATAAATAAAGTTATTGACGAGGCTGAGCAGTTGTCAACGACTAACGTTCGAGAGGCAATTCTAAAATCGGGCAATAAATAACGAGACCAGGTCGAAAAATTATAAATTAAATGAACTGGTAAAATTAAAGTACAGCCAGTAAGCAAAACCGTTTAAATTTCTGGTAAACGCTAATTTATTGACCTACCGATTTACAACTTAAACAATGATTCCGATTCGATTAGAGTTTTGATGCCTCGTTCACGCCTCCAAAAGAATCAATCCGCAAAATAAAGCAATCGTCACAACAGGCCTAATATTAAATACTCACGATAGATCTGAGCAGCTCAAATACGAATCGCATCTGAAAGCAAAGAAAAAGAGCATTTTAATAGATGACATGATGATGATGACTCATGTAGTCTTTATTATTAGCTTTCTTCAGTATCTGGTGAAGAAGAATACCGAAAGAAACGCTGAAAAATGCTACAGTAAAAGAAACTAACCGTTTGTTAAATGTCATTGCGGCGCGAAAGCTTAATGTAAATGTTAAACTAACTTGTGACTGTATGTCCTGTTCATAACATTGATCAGTTTCTTCATAACATTTTTATACACTTCTCAAATCATTAATCTCAATTATATATATATATATATATATATATATATATATATATATATATATATATATATATATATATATATATATATATATATATATATATATATATATATATATATATATATATATATATATATATATATATATATATATATATTTACACTCATAGCTTATTTTACATTCACAAGTTTAATATTATCTTACACTTAACAAACGTATGACTGAAGAAGTTTATCAACGTGCTGCATACTATACTTTTTACGATTATTAGTTTTTCGTATGACGTATCCGTCAGAACTGACAAAAGTCAAAATAACATTTTATCTATACTTCCCATTCTAGAAAAATACCCATCCAATCAAATGTGACCAAAGTGTCACTTGGTTAACCACGGTCGCGAGCCATTTCGAACCTTTCCGGTGCTGTGCGTTTACGATATATTTTAGCCACTGATGTTATTTTTTTATAAACTTCTTTACTTCTTTTCCTTTATTAAACACTTGCTCCGCTAGTGGCAAATCAAATGCATAACTAAAGTTACATTTACCAAACCTGTTGCGTAATAAACTTAGTTGAAGAGTCTTTGCCATTGTTTTTTTTTCTTGATTATGAGCTCGGGTCTGTTTTTTAGACGGCCGCCCAAGCACGTTCGTATTTTCGTTAAAATCGGACAAACACAATTACACCCAAGGCTCCCGGTGGGAATCGAATCCACAACCTCCGGCAAGTCGAGTTGGCAGGTCTAACGCCTTACCAACCGAGCCATCCTCAGTCCCATTTCCATTGTTAATGAAAAATCTCGTAGACGGCGCAATAAAATACAGATCAAAGCACGATATTTCAGCTAATAGTCATAATCTAATTAAAATATGGTCGATTAGCATAAACATTTGGCTATAACGTTGTATTTAGTGCCGGCAAATATGGGCCGCCGTAAATGGAAAACTAATAGTTGTACTTATATGCACATGCGGATGACGACGGCATCTCGCAAGCCCATTAAGAGAATAAACTTAGATAATCGGTAGGAAATGGACAATATTAAAATAAGACAAGCGGGAGACGTGCGGATGCAAATTGCAACGAAAAAAGATTCAAATTGACGTTACGAGTGATGTCTTTTTCCTTGTATCCACTGGCGTCACAATAAAATATAATTCGGTCCAGAATTCGGTTAGTTAGTATAGATTGAAAACTAATTTTACCTATTATATTATTAAGGAAACCGGAAGTTATGGACATATTATTTGCATTTTTGTTGTTATTTAATAATGAAAATAATAATAATAAGGACTTTCTCAAAATTTTGAGAGATAAAGAAAAGAGGAAGGAAAAGGAATGAGGAAAGCTTCTAGCGCACAAATCACATACTTATAGCATACTATATTACATTATTACTATTATTATTATTTATATAATTTGCTAATGAGGAATAAATAGGATATTCCCTAACGGAACAAATACAGAATTGTTCTTAAACACAAATTTTCTCATTTTTTTAACAGTTTACTGTCGATCGCTAAACTGATGAACTACAGTTTGATTTCAGCAGTGCAACCAAAATAAAACTCACGTCATAACTCAGTTCAAAACTAACCATAAAAATAAACAACTCTTATAGGTATATAAGTGAGACCTGTAACGGGATATTTGGAAAACATTCACAAGATCAGCCAAAATCTCTACCACTTGATCCATTAAACAAAATTGTTTTAAAAAATGTTCATTTTTACGTATGTAATAGATAACATATTTTTAGTTTTTTTTTTCAGAACTTTGTAGTTATTGTTTATATTTAATAAGTTTCATCTTATTCAGTGAAAATAATTAATTAAGAAGTCAATAGAAAATACAAAAACACACTCCTTATTTCATAAGTTCATAAGTTTTTTGTTTTGGCCATTTAAACGTATGTAGACTGCAGACTTTCATTATTAATTTTCTTATTAACTTTTTCAATACATCATCTCACATCTTACAGTACAGCATAGTTTTCTATTTCTACAGAACCCAAGGTCTGGATATTTCTCCCAGAAAATTTTCTCTAATTACATTCGAATTTTTCACTAATTAGACTTTCAATAACCACTACGACGTGTGAGCTAAATTATCACAATAAACTTCTTTGCGGTAATATCTGGAAAATTTGGCGAGCGTTCATACGAACGGTATACTTTCAGTGGTCGGTCTACATTTGGCAATACCATCGGGATTAATCCCATTAGTTTAACAAAGTCCGCGATAAATCTCTGGGCGCGAAAGAGCCACAAATCAACCGGCTTCACATCAGGTGCTCACGCTGCTACGCAATATGTCATCGGCTAGGTCGAGGGCAGGTCTGTAGCTGCAGCCTTGCCGAGAGTATGCTGGGATATGGCGGCGAACTTGTGGGTGCGAGCCTGTGTATGACCCCCGCGGACCTTTCATTTTCGATCACACGGTATGGTGCACCTTTTAAGGTGTAGCGCCGCCGATTGCGACGTTGTCGCACTTATATTTACGCAATATATATAGATTTAAGTAAAACCTCAATTTAGATATCGCAGAAAATGGGAAGCAATAATGTAATAAGTATTCTATGCCTAGTACAATTTTAGACTAAGATTTGAGATACAAATTTAGAGGATAACTTGCAAAGCTTTAAAAAAGTTTGGTTCATTTGGGACTAGGGTTTGGGACACAACTATAGACGAAGCTTTCAAGGATATAATTTCAGAAGACAATTTGAAAAACTTTGAACCAGGTCTAAGAATACAACTTTAGACCAAGGTTTGGGATACAAGTTTAGAGACAGCTTCGGGGATACAACTTTAGTGGACAACTTGAGTACAACTTCCAGTTAGTTAGATCAACGTCAGATGAAGATTTAGGACACAACTTTAGACGAAGCCTCAGGAATACAATTTTGGAAGACAAGTTGCAAAATTTTGAACCTGGTCTAAGGATACAACTTTAGACCAAGGTTTGAGAAACAGTTTTAGAGGTAGCTTCTGAGATACAATTTTAGAGGTCAACTTGAAAAATTTTAAATCATCTTTAAGTCAACTTTAGACTAGGGTTTGGGACACAACTTCAGACGAAGCTTTCGGGACATAATTTTAGAAGACAATTTGCAAAATCTTGAAGCAGGGGTAGCTTAATAGTACCTTATTTTGATAAGTGCCACTTTAGTCAGGGGTTTGATTTGGAACGAGCGGAGCAAGTGTTTATAACCAATAAGTGACTGAAAAAATACGTGTAACGTGTCGCTTGCTATACGTTTTCTAGAACTCTTCACTGAGTAAGGTGTAATGTGACAAACTGCCAAACGTCATAATACCATCAAAAGCTAAAGTAATGGCAACGCCCGAAGTAGCTCGCAACAATGTTTAATGAAGCTAACATCTAAAGTAGCACTTTAAGCATGGTTAACCAGGGCAAAATTGTGTTTATTTAAGTTATAGGGAGCAGAAAATAGTATAATATACAAGTCCGGTAAACCGCATTAAAAAATTTACCAATCGTGTTGTATACTGTACTTTTTCTACGACAGTTAGTTTTTGGGTACATTTTTGCAAAATCACACGAACGCAGTCACTGACATGACCCTCAGAATTGACAAACGTCAAAATTCGAGCCGTGCGGTAAAATCTCCATCCAATTGCTCACAAAGCCGAGCGGTAATATCCCGGTAATGGCCGAAGGGGCTCGGATCCAGGGGACAAGAAACTCACGTGGTAAAGTGACGCTTTCCGCCCGCTAGATCGGCCAATAATTAGCTATTTTACAGAAGCGAGCAGAAAAAACCTTATTCTGCACTATTGTAGAACCGCATATAACCGCGAGTCCGAAGACCCGTAAATAAAATACACATTCAGTCACGACATCGTACGAGAAGCATGACCAAAAACCCATACGAGTTACCTAATTGGTTAGCTGGATTTAATTGCATTTCTAACAGGCGTAACTAAGAAAATGATCGGTATCAACTCTGAGCATTTTTAAATCAGTAATAATCTTGCAGGCGCCTTTAACTTGTCAGGCGTACATTAATTTGCGTCAACTATGTAACAGCGCCAACATTGGCACGATGGGCGTCACGATAAGATGTATTAATTTTCACGACATATTAAGCTTCTGAATTTTAGCTGAGTTCCGTTTCGATCAACTGGCAAAAGATTGATGATTTCGAAACGTCCAATATAAAATCGACGCAATTTTGTGAAAAAAAAAACCGGTAGCACCACTTTTGGGTAGATTTGCGATTTCCTTACGACGAAGCAGATCCCGGCCAGATGTACTGAAGAAATATACGCAGAATAACGTAATGAGCCAGATGAGCACTTTTAGTTTGCTTGGTTTAGATTTGATATGCAACTTTGTATTGGTATATTCCTTGGCCCTCTTACCAATTCCTACTACGTAGTGTAAGGTCAGCCGCTCGGATGCTTACTAGACTAATCAAAGCAATTTTTGATGAAATAACATGAAACCGAATTCAAAACACAGCCCTTTTCTTTGAAAACGACTACTTGCCATTCTAAGAAAATGTAAAGCCCACCCTACATGTTATTTACATTAAAGTTACAAAAGTATAATCGGACTTGTACTTGGACGTAAACTTGATATATTAAATTGTGCTTTGCTTGAAACTATCTTTTTTTACGGCTTAATGTGTAAAACGAACAAACTGAAATATATGAATTACGCAAAATGGTCCAAAGGTGTCAATTTAACACATCTCGAAGCTTCATTAGTAAGGG